CAGAGCCATCCTACATGGCAGGCAGATGAGCGGGCCAGCTGCCCAGGAGTCCTCTGGCAGATCAGCTCCCAACAGCTCAAGGCAGATTGAGGGGAAGTAGGTGACATGACAATGACATCATTTGGCAGTGCAAGCTGTCAGAAGCCCCGCAACGGCTGGACGCATGAAGCCAAATGGCTGGACAGGTGGGAGTCAGGCACATGCCTGAAGATGGGGGGATATAGTGGCTGGAGCAATGCTGGTAAACCAAGTTTTCTAGATATTCAAGTACTGGATAACAAAGCTTTTATTGTCTCAAAGGGGTAGTTGTGTTAGTCTGTAACTTTAAAAACAAGTAGCCTTGTGGCATCTTAGAGATGAACAAACATATATACTGTATCATGAGCTTTTGTGGGCAATATTTATTTTCTCAGATGAGCAAAGTGGAGAGAAAAAACTTACTGTAGTTCAGTTTGCCTGGGCTTAACCCTGTTCTTCCTTTACAACTGAGTATGCCAAGTTTTCAAAGATGACGTTACTAATTTTGCACCCACATGTTGGTAGACGCGCCTGATAACACTTAGGGTAAGTCTAGACAGCGGCTCTATTTCAGGATACTTCTAGTACCCTGAAATAGCATTTTCCGTATCTTCACAGTGTGCCCATTATTTTGAAATAGCTTTCGAAATAATGGGCACGCTATTTCCATGTCCTTGTAAATCTCGTTCCACAAGAATTAAGGGATGTTTCGGAATAGCGCTCGATTTTGAAAGACACTTGAAATAAGCTACACAATTGCTTATTTTGAGCTATGGGTGCAGTGTAAATGCACCCTTAGTGGGCAGGCTATCGGGTGACAAACACCATTTGAACATAGAAATCATGCACTGGCAATCAGTGTCTGCAGTCTATTATCTGTGCCCGTAAGTGACTATGTCTGCACAATTGTTCTCTCATGAGCACAGGTACAGAAATGCTGATGCAACATCTGAGAGACTTGTGGCAGGTTTGGATAATTTTTGGTGGTGCCCAGAACAGGTTCATGTTCTGCCCCTGGTGCAAGAGAGGTGAGGGGTTGGGCTCTGGAGGGATTTGGGTACGGGCTCTAGGAGGGGCAGGGAGTTGGAGTGCAGGAGGGGTTGAGAGAGTCGGCACTTAACGTGGGAGGTGCCAGCTCCCAAAAGTGACAACACACCAGTCTGGCAGAGGCTCGGCACTTGGGGTGGGAGCAGTGTGCAGTGATACACTTCCCAGGGGCTGCAGGCACACGCCGGCTGCTTCTGGGAGTCATGTGGAGCAGGAAGCTGCCTTCACTCCACTGCACTGTCAGTAGTGGTAGTGGTAATGGCTAGGGACCCCAGGCTCTTTTAAATCACCTGAAGGGGTTTGGAACGGGTCCCATATGAGGAGAGGTTAAAGCTACTGGGTCTTTTCAGTTTAGAAAAGAGGAGACTAAGGGAGGATATGATAGAGGTATATAAAATCATGAGTGGTGTGGAGAGGGCGGATAAAGAAAAGTTATTTATTAGTTCCCTAAATAGAAGAACTAGAGGACTCCAAATGAAATTAATGGGTAGCAGGTTTAAAACTAATAAAAGAAAGTTCTTCACACAGCATGTAGTCAACCTGTGGAACTCTTGCCAGAGGAGGCTGTGAAGGCTAGGACTATAATAGAGTTTAAAGAGAAGCTAGATAATTTCATGGAGGTTAGGTCCATAAAAGGCTATTAGCTAGGGGATAAAATGGTGTCCTTGGCCTCTGTTTTTCAGAGGCTGGAGAGGGATGGGAGGAGACAAATCGCTTGATCATTGTCTTCGGTCCATCCTCTCTGGGGCACCTGGTGCTGGCCACTGTCGGCAGACAGGATACTGGGCTAGATGGACCTTTGGTCTGACCCAATATGGCTGTTCTTATGTTCTTATGACAGCAACAGGCGGGGCCGTGAGACGCATATGGGTACAGCAAGCAGGGTTAGGGATAGAGCTGACTCAAATATTGGTGGAGCTGAGCGCCAGTATTTCTGAAACCTGGGCACCATGGGCTCTCATAACTCACAGCCCCCGATCTGAAACCCCCCATGAAAAATTTGGTTGATGATATTTTAACATTTCTTAGCTCTTCCATATGCTGATTCCAAAATATTTTGTCCTTTGCTTTCTTACAATAGATAACACTATTAGGGCAAAATTAGGTTCATGTTTTACTAGCAATAAATTACTATTAAATGTTAATTATTATCATCAAATCATATGGATCCCGTACTGCAAATTATAATGTTAAAATGCTGTACTTCTTTGGTTAAGAAAAACTCATTTAAAATAAGTGATCAAAAACTTTTGAGTTATTGCTTTAGGGTTTTTTTTATGTGCATAATACAATCTTTATATACAATGGTTTGTCATCCAAACACAGTGAATCAATTATATTTTTTCCTTTTGGTATTCCCTACAAGCGTTTTTAAAGTTTGGTAGGAAAGTTAGTGTTCATGAGAAAAACAGATGCATAGTACTGTCTAGAGCCAGGCCAGGCATATTATGTAAACTTCCCAACCCTGTACAGCCAACAGATTTTAGTGCTGATGTGAAACACTCCTGCTGTTTTAGTCAGAGGCCTCTCTTACACACAGAGACCATCAGTCATATTGAATGGTAAGTCAGTTCGGTGATGGAACTAAAAGATTAGGACTACCAAATGGATTTCACTAGTGACCACAGATAAATCCCTCCTCCTCTCCCAGCTGAATAATGGGGGAGGGGGGAATTATTTCCCTCCAGATGTAGTATTATGCATTTTGCCACCATGAATCTATGTCCATGGTCCCCACTATATTACACCTATTATTCATTATTTACAGCTAGTAGCACAACAATGTGCTAGGCACTGTAAAAACACCAGAGAAGACATGCTCCTTTATAGCAAGGCATTAAGCCACCAGAAAGAAAAAAACAAACTGGGAAAAATCTTTTGTTTTTTTTTTCTTTCCCATAGATATACTGTCTAAAGTTATAAACTTCCCTCTGACAAACTTCCATTTAGCTCCCTGAACCTGCAGAGCTTGACATTATCTATAGCAGGGCTGATCAAACGGACAGAACTTTAGAGCCACCAATGACAATCTTCAAAAGTTTGAGAGGCAGGGTGTGT